TGAGAACCACTGAATTAAGGGGAATGGGAAGAGGAAGAAATTAGGAAAACAGATGAAACTGTTGTAACCCTAAGCCACAGCAGATGAGGTGATTTGGGGGAATGAATGATTATAACATGGTGGAAATGATCAGCTATGGTCAGAGTCAAAAAAAATCTGAGAAGCAAACCATATTCTTATCATTTCACTTGAAACTGTACAACTGTCAGTCAGAAAGCCAGATCAAGGTGTGTCTGAAACTTGGAAGAGAAGGATATGAAATGCACTAACATAGAAAAAAAATCCTTTCAAAAGACAGACATTATTAACACAGCAGAAGAAAGAACATGCTGCTAATCAGAATGGATCATACAACGTGAAAAAATACTCTCATAGGAGCACAGGTAGGCAGTGTGAGGGAGACGGACACACTGGCTGTTTTAACTGGAAGCCTTTTGAATATTCAGGCATATTGCTCATCAGCAACAGTCAGATTGCAGCTGGCTGGCCCATGAAGATTGGTGTAAAGGGAAAGAATGCCCAGTGTAAGGTCAGTCTGAGATTTCCAGTTGCACTGAGGCTGTATTCATCTCCTAAATGACTAAAATGCCATTGTGATCTTATACAATAGTCTCATGAGTTCAAATCATGGGAAATCCTTCACACGGGATGAACTTTCCTCCGTGTGCTGAACATATAGTTCTGAACCTGTTACATCTGAAAATAATAAGACCCTGGGTCCCAGCAAATTCATCAAACTAATAAAAACCACCTGGTTATGGGGAGGGGGTGGAGAGTGCCCCGTGTAGTAGCTAACTGTTCTTCCTTTAGTAATAACCTCTCGTAGCACTGTTAGCCTCGAGTGCCTTCCTTCTTCAAATGTGGCAGATATAGGTCGGAATTAAAGCACATGCATGCACACATTCACACAGGCACCATAAATAGAAGATAACTGGGAAGGTGCCCAGGGGTTAAGAAGAATTATGTTTGATTTCTGAGTTTAAGAAAGTACAGATAGTCAAACACTCAGAATTATTTCCTACTGGGAATTACTGCAACTATGGCCAAATGGAGAAATTAGTATGCAACTTTAGATAATCCCTACTTATCCAAATTAATTGGATACCATGAGTTTCAAAACAGACTTCCTACTAGGATCACAGGCATACAAATAAATGATACCACATGCATACACACAAGTATCATAAGAGTTTGAGAAATATTACATAAAAGGACAAAAAAATTAATATAAATGTCATACCTAATCTATGAAAAGCACTAACTAAAAGCTTGGAAAGGTGACAAAGCAATGGCTGCATAAAATACAAGTCAAGATTTTGAAGATCCTGAAAAGCAGATGGGTACAGCTATACCACATTTTGCTTCAAAGAGGTAAATAAAGTTGTCATTATTTACAATAGTAGTTGCAGTTTTCTCTTCCTTTTGGGCCTCTGATTAAATTTTGTTCTTTTTTCTTTGGAAAGTAATTTGGTGGTTCCCTTTCTTCATATCCTGGATTTAGTTGTCCTTATTGGTCAAAAGGAGGTACTTTCCTGCTCCCTTTCACAAATCACTCCTGGCTCTTTTCAATATCCTTTCAATGGCTTCTTAAAATAATTCTAATTTATAGATGAAGTGATATGCTCCCTGGGAGCAATGGGGGCTGGGGGAGGTATGAATGAAACAAGACTGGCCATCACTTTATAAACTTTTGAATAATAATAGATACAGAGAATGGACACATATGTAATACCCTTTGTAATAAAAAATTAAAAAAAAAAAGACTGGCCATCACTTGGTCATTGTTGGAGATGAAAAATGGGCACATAGGAGTTGATTGTACGGGGGGCCTTGACTTACGAGTGTCCCGACTAACGAGTTTTTTGAGATACCAGCTGTCTCTTGGCTGATTTTTTGCATTGAGTTGATAGAGAAATTTGAGTTAATGAGCTCCTTAACGAGCTTGGTCTCGGAACGAATTAAACTCGTAAGTCAAGGCCCCACTGTACTATGTTTTAAATTTTCCATAATGAAAAATTTTACAAATAAAACCAATTATTATTAAGCCTTGTACTTTATGACAATGGTTTTCTGCCAAAGGGATAGAAATTGGGCTAAAGTCAGAAGGCTTTATTGGCTCATTTGTAACTGAAATCTAATCTATAATTCCAAATAGCATTCTGCAGTACCTTACCTAAAGACATGAACAATGAACCAAACCCTTTTTTAAATACTCTCATTTTGTTATCATGTCAAAAATAGCAACCATCTAGGTGACTATAGTTATTCTTATTTAAAGTTTAGCTATAAGCTTCTTGGAAATAAAGGTAAAAAGAGAATCATAGTAAGTAATAAAATTCATGTTCTGATAAAAAATATCAAATAGATTCTTTCCTGGCATTAAATTCTAATATCTGAATGAACTTTGTATTATAATACAAAGGACACTATCCTAAATAATAAAAGCCTAATATGCTAAGTATCCAGTTGACCAGTTGGCCATTCAACCAATCAAAGCGTAATATGCTATTGACTAGAAGCCCGATGCATGAAATTACTGCAAGAGTAGGCTTTCCTTCCCCTGGTTGCCGGCACCAGCTTCCCTATGGCACAGGGAACCCAGGCTTCCCTCCAGTCACTGGCAGGCACCCGGGACCCTAGTCTAATTAACATATTTCTCTTTTATTATTATAGATATGCTAAGGCCGCTCAACCACTTGCTATGATGTGCACTGAACACCAGGAAGCAGATAGTCAACCAGTCAACCAGTTGCTATGACATGCACTGACCACCAGGGAACAGATGTCCAACCGGTAGGTTAGCTTGCTGCTGGGGTCTGGCTGACCGGGACTGAGTGAGATGGGCCTGACATGCCCTGGAGCCCTCCTGCAGTCCCTCCCCGGCTGGCCAACCTCCTGTGTCCCTCCCTGGCCCAATCTTGCACCGGAGGGATACCTCAGCCTAGCCTGTGCCCTCTCTTATTCTGAGTCCCCTGGGGGAATGTTGGAGAGCTGGTTTTGGCCTGATCCCACGGGCCAGGCCGAGGGACCCCACTGGGCCTCTAGTATAACATAATGGACAATGTCTTTAACTTGGGTTCAAAGATGAAGTGTTTCTCAAGTGGTCAAATTCTGAATCAGTTCTTCCTAAACACTAAGGGCTTTTGCACTGGGTTCGGTGAGGCAAAGCAACTCTGTTGGGGTGTACGGCAGAATAGTCCAGACATATAGTTTTTGATATCAACTACCAAGCTAGGGTCAGGGATACTAAATCAAGGGGAATAAATGGAAAGTATTTTTTAAATAGACTTCTCTTAGCAGGGCTTTATTTTTTTTTTACAGTAGCCTAGTTTAAGTCAATTTGGAATTACACTTTCTGATAAGAATTCATATTACAAATTACAGAAAGGTTCAGATGCTTTGGATTTGAGCATATAGGTTTTGGGATGATCTTCAAGCTATTATATATAATGTATATGTATGTATATAATGTTAAAGTTTTCACAGCCTAATAACTAAAATGAAAAGCATCGTGAGCTAGCAGTCAGGAGGTATAAGTTAGTTTTATTTTTACTAGTTTTTTTAGCCTTGGGTAAGTAACTAACTTTTCCGAGTCTTGTTTCATCACCTAAAAAACTAGGTCATTAATTAAATGTTTCAGTTACTTTGAGGAACTAATGTGAAATGCTTCTTGGATTCACCTAATCTTTATGAAAGTGAATAAATCTCAAGGTGTCATTTAGTCAGTAAAGTTCATCTCACCAGGATTATATCTTGATTGCTGTTGCTGGTTTCAACTTCAATCAAACCCTGACATTCTTGCACAAGGTTCTGATTCTCCTTCCTTTTCATTTCCCAAGAAGAGGCCTATAGCAAGGTATTAACGAAAATATACAAGGATTAGTGGCAATCAATGATACACATTAAACTACCTTCATTCACCCTCTATTAACTTTTGTATAGAAGCAGATCTCTGTAGGAGAAACAGAGATCTGTTAAATTTCTGATCGTTGCTCTCAAGAAGTATATGATTTAGTTATGCAGTAGTAAAGATTAAATAATAACAGACAACAATTCAAAAGACTATCATAAGACAAATTAAGTATGAAATGAGTGGTGTAAATTATTATGCTCAATGGTGAATCAAAAGGCTTGTAGTATTTTGCAAAGGAGCTGCATGAATTCCTGACCATATATTGGATAAATAATGTCTCATATGGATATACATACTGTTCTTAAAATCTATGGAGGTGCTGCTGAAGAGTAAGATATGTATTCATTTCACAATATCTACGATGGCTTTCTCGTATTATGTAGTTCTTAACAATGGATACTAGACGTGCCTAGTATTATGTGAGATATCTACAGTCATTCTATTGATATTGAAAGATGTCCTCATACTTGCAAGGTGAGAAAAAGAATGGAAAATTTATGATGCAGGGTAAGGGCTCCTTTGATTAGAATGGCTAGAGGCAGACTCTTAGCTTCTTGAGGGCAAGATTAACTGTGTTAATCCTGGAGACCTCAGCACCTGGTCCAGAGTAAATGATTAATATTTTGTTTGTTCAGTGAAATGAATTAACAAATAACACGGGAAAAACGTAAAAGAATTAAAAGTTGCAGATGTAGGAAACCGTAAGAATATTACTTTTAGTGGGAGACCTGTTTTCAGGAAATAAGAGGAAAGTTGTTCGGGATAAAGAAGTGGAATCTCCTGAGAAACACAAGAGTGTGATAAAAAACAATTCTCTAAAAAGAACGGGTAATTAATTAATTACCTGTATTAACAGAGCAGAACTGTGGTGCAAATGAGCTAAATTATTTGCTAATACCAGAGCGCTTTTTATCAAACTTTTGGAGCAGGTGGTGAGATTTACTCAGAGCACATCTGCCTTCCTAATCCCTTCTACTTAGGCAAATATTAAAATTAATTACACTCCTTGCACCTCCTTTGGCAGTGGTAATGCCTAGTACTGTATTTACCAGACAGAATATTAAAAATTCACTGCAAATAATCCTCAAGTAATTAAAAGTTGTTTCAATTGCAGTTTAAAAGCTGATTAAATTCATTTTTCAACAGCTTATAAAGAATGACACAGTCTCCTGATCTATCCACCTTACTTGTAGATTTTGGTAAGTACAGGATATCTTCTGAAGTAAAATTATTTTACCTTTTCAAGAGTTGACATATAACCAGTCTCCCTTTCTTCACCTTCCACTTGCTAATCAAACTATCTATTCTTCTCCCCTCTTTACTCCAACACAAACAGTAAAATGCTTCCTGAGCTCATCCCTATTACCCCTAAGTCATTAAGTCAATGGACTTTTTTAGAGGCCTTTGGCCTCTCAGTAGAATTTTACCTCTCTGACCATCTCCCCTTGGGTTGCCTTTTGTTCTCCTTCCCCTTGGCTTTAATAATAAAACAAATTCCTGATTTCTTCTCCTACTGCTCTGGCTAGTCCCTAACAATCCCTTGTGCACACATCCTCAGACTGCTAGGCAGGTTCCTATGTAGTCTTTCTTTTCTTCTTACCCTTACTCCTCACTTGGCATGTTCCCTAGGGAGTCTCGAACTGTGTAAGCTAAACTCATGCTCCTCCTCACAAGCCCAGCCATCTTCTAGCATTCCCTATTTCAATGAATGGATTCACCACCCAACCAGGTGCAAGAGCCAGAGGTTCTGTAGTCATTCTTGCCATTTCTCTCTGCTTCACCTTCTATATCCAATATATCACCCAGAGGTGCCAGTGTTCCCTCCTCAAGACAATAGAAGAAACAAATGGATCTACTTCTCTCTACTCCCCCACCATCATCCTAGCCTTCACTACTGGTACTTCTCATGCGAACACTGTAATAGCCTAACTACCCTGCCTGAATTCACTCTGCTCTCTACTAACCCTTCTTCCATACTCAGCCAACGTAAGAGTCTCCCAAGGAAAATCTAGCCATGCCACTTCCGTCCCTGAAGCTCTTCAATGGTTTCCCATTGCTTTGAGGATAAATGTGAAACCTCTTGTCAAAGGTCATATATAGGATCTGTATGGTCTGGTCACTCCATCCTCGTCTCACACCAGCCTCTTTCGATCTTGCTGCTCCATCACAGCTTAGTTGTCTTCCTAAGGCACTCTGTACTCACCATGCTCCCTGTCAGAGCATGCACTGCTCCTGAGTCCTCTGCTCCAGTGGCCTCAGTTTACTATCCTGCCGACTATGCCACTGTCAGAGCACTCTTTTTAAAAAATATATATTTTATTGATTTTAGGGAGGAAGGAGGGCGAGAGAGAGACAGAGAGAGAGGGAGAGAGAATAACACTAATGATGAGAGAGAACCATTGATAGACTGTCTCCTGCACATCCCCTACTGGGGACCGGGCCCACAACCCGGGCATGTGCCCTTGACTGGAATCAAATCCGGGACCCTTCAGTCTGCAGGCAGATGCTCTATCTACGAGCCAAACCCTGCATGCTGGTACAAGTGTGGGAGTACAGGTTCTGATCCTGTCCAACTATGCTAACTGTGGGGTCTGAGCCCCTCTGCCAGGGGCTGAACCTTCTTGGATGCTGGGTGGTAGATAGAGAAGCCATGAGAAGTTGTGGGTGTGTAAGAATGAGTCTTTATTACAGGCCAAGTGGCCATTGCTAACAAGGAGAATCAGACAAAACAGTTCTTCACAACAGTCCCATACAGGCAGCCGCACACTGGCTGGTTAACAAATACATCTTTCCCACAAAGCAGCAGCAGCCTCTGTACCTATTGCTATTATCTGAGCAGCTGTGTGTTTCCTCTAAACCAAGCATGTCAAACTTGCAGCAAATAAATGAGGCAAACCCCCAATTTTGAAATTGCACAGTTAATTAGTGGAAGTCAGGGTTAAAGGATAAAACTAATTTATACACTAAGTATTACTCACATGCAGTATTTTGGACATAGCAAGGGCTGAAGGAATATCTGCTGAATACATGAACTTGTATGTATGTGATACACAATTCAAAATAAAATTCTGCTGATTATAGACAGATTCAGCTTGGATTATATTGTCTCAAAAAAATTTATGACCAAAACTTTAAAGTTATAGGGAACTGGACTTTCAATATTTTAAGAGAACAAGCTACCCAAAAACGGAATGACAAAGGCTGCCTTAGGAGGTAATGAGTCTCCATCACTAAAGATTTTCAAGAAAAGTCTATATACCATTCGCCAAAGATATTACAAAGGAATGTGTGAGATATTTCTGTAATGTAACTATTGTTCAGAATAATTGCTTCTGAAAGAACCATGCCTAAAATACCTTGTCTCCCACAATGCATAATATAGTATCTTACAGAGGGCAGAAGTTCAGTAGATATCTGCTGATTAAAGCAGTTTATTCCTTTCAGAGCCTACAGCAGTTATTTTTAATATATTTTACGGTAGCCAATATCTACCCTTGAAGGGTGAATTTAATTTTTGGAAATAGGAAAAAGACATTAGAAGTCAAGTTTGATGAATAAGGCAGATAAACTAGGCCATAAATTTTGGCGTGTAAAGGATTTAAAATGGTAGTGAGATAATAATGTCTGTAATAATTTAGCACTGTGTCTAACACACTCAGTTTTGGGCATTGTCATTATTATAAACTGAATCTGAGGGCTAATTCTCAAAAAAGGACTTAAGTAAAGGTAACATTGTAAGAATGAAAGTACAGCGATTCTTTTAAAAGAAAGAAACTCTCACTGGCTGGTGTGACTCAGTGGTTGAGCATCATCCCATGCACCAAGAGGCTGCTGGTTCGATTCCTGGTGAGGGCACATGCCTGGGTTGTGGCCTTGATCCCTAGTAGGGGCGCCAGCAGGGGGCGCCTGCAGGAGGCAGCAGATCGATGTATCTCTCTCATCGATGTTTCTAACTCTCTATCCCTCCCTTCCTCTCTCTAAAATCAATAAAAACATATTTAAATAATTTTTAAAAAGAAAAGAAACTAATTTGGATACATAGGCATTCTCAGGTAGAACATTTATTAAAATCAGTCTCAACACTTATTTGTACTATTGAAACTATATCCCATTTTCCTGGAAGCATGACTACAGGGGTAACTAACTATTATAGAATTTGGCTAAGCATTTTTGCTGTAAAGCATTGGATGCAAAAGCCTCAAGTCTACAGGTTTATCCTATATGAGCATCCTATATGAATATGTCTCTTAAATACAGGCATATCCTTTGGGGGCCTTTCAGTTGGTTGAGCTCTCCACACATTTTGCTGATGTGCTGATATTAGCAATCTGACCTTTCCTCCAAAAGAGAGAACACAGAAGAAAAAATAGAAATTGGGACCTTGTCCAGGAAACTGAAATTACAATGTGTATGCTTTAATTAGAGTGCTTTAAAAATGTGGAAATGAAGCAAAACCTTTACCACCTGCTATTTTCAGAGAAGAAGAATACTACACATTTGGTGACTAAGAAGAGAAAAAACACACCTGGGCTCTCTCAGTGAGCCTGACCTTTTCTGGGAGGGCTGCTGGGTGTCTCTGCTGTGGCTCTGTCTTCTTCCTTGTAGACTTCATCACTTTAGTCTCTGAAACGAACTCCACATCAGAGTCCGTCCCTTCCGTGTTGCTCTTCCAGCTTCTTTGGCCAGCTGAGAGCTCAAAGGATGCAAGAGACTCATGCTTCAAGTCATAACCTGAAGGCCTGATTTTCCTAGGTTTTGTATTTTCCTTAAACAACAAAGGATATGTTTTTATTTTTTAGTAGTCAGCTTATTTCTCATTAAGCACCATTTTTCTAAAAACCTTACAACACTAGGTGATATTTATTACTAATAAAAACCTTAAAAAGCAGAAGCTTAGAAACAGACTTTAGCAAATGTATACCACTATAATGGCTCATTCAGAATCAATAGAGCTGGGATGAATCAACAAATCTAATTTTGAGGATTCAGAAGACCCCAAATTGAGAACAGTGTGCTTCTTGAAGCCTTCCAACAGAGATTTACTTGCCTTTGGCTCCCTGGTGCATATATATATCAATAATCTGCTTATCTAAATGTTGGCTGGGGTTTATCAATCCCATAACCTGCCTGTTAACAAATGTGAACTAAAATTACAATTTTCCATGTTTTCTGTGTGATGGTATAACTGAAAGCTTTATGTAAAGATTTATAAATTTTCCCTCTACATTTTAAATCTTAGATAATAGATATTTGAGAAATATAATGCAACTAGAGGCCCGGTGCATGACATTTATGCACTGGAGGGGGGGTCCCTCAGCCCAGCCTGTGCCCTCTCGCAGTCTGGGACCCCTTGGGGAATGTCTGCCTGTGGACAACCCCCGAGGGGTCCTTAGTGCTACCACAGAGGCAGGAGAGGCTCCCGCCACTACTTCTGTGCTCGCCAGCTGTGAGCCCGGCTTCTGGCTGAGTGACACTCCCCCTGTGGGAGCGCACTGACAACCAGGGAGCTCCTGCATTAAGCATCTGCCCCTTGGTGGTCAGTGTGCGACACAGTGACTGGTCATTCCGTTGTTTGGTCAATTTGCATATTAGGGTTTTATTATATAGGATATGACATTTAGCAAACATAAGAAACAATGTAGAAATTACACATATAACATATTTCTAGGCAAATATATCCAGATAGTCTCTCTCTTTATATTAAATATATAAATATATGTATCACATGTATCCACTGAAAATATTGGAAAGAAATACATTAAAATATATTAAATGGTCATCAGCTCTAGGAAGACAATACATGATTTAAATTTTATTTATATTTTATTTCCTGTGTTTTCCTACTAAACATTTTTTCTTATTAATATCACTCTAATAAGAAAAATGGTGACAGTTATAAAAGAATTGATTAGTGCTTCACTTTTTTAATATATCTTTTGTTATCGACAATATTTCAGATAATCTCCCATTTATCCCCCATCCCTTTTAACTCCCTCCTCCCAGAGTGCTTCACTTTTTGAAGCTCATAAACCATGATGACATTTGGCCCTTGATAAGTCTTATCCTTTATATGAAAAACATCACACAAATGGCTCAATCCTACTTTAATCACTCACCTTAGATGCTGAAATTCGGCAGATGGTAGTGGACTCAGCGATCCTGCTTTTTGGTATAAACTGAAGTTATTATGGAAAAAGTCATTAGACAAATGTGAGTAACAAATAACTTGCAATTGGCATATTACAATAATTTAATATTCTTCATTTCTTTGAAGTTTCAAGATTGCATATCGTCACCGATAATTGATCATTACTTAAGGGTTCCCTTCCAGTTTAGATGTTCTGATTAGTGGGGTCTGGATGGTACAAGAGAACCTGATGGTTGAAGCATTGTAGATCAAATGTCTCATGAGCAAGGTCAGGGTGCCCCTGCATCAAACACCATCTCCCCAGGCCTCTCTCCCCTTTCGGAGACCCTGGGTTCCCTACTCTGAGGTCCCAGCATCTGGACTGCATTCTGACCTTCAGCAATAGCTCCATCTAGGTCAGAGCTCCAGGCCTGAGTTTCAAGGGACTTTTGAGGGTAGAGTGGCTTTAATGGTGTCCCTCCTAGCTAGATGCTGCCTTATCCCCCCCCTTCCAGCTGCTGCCTTGTACGCAGAGGCAGGGCTGAAAGGAGAGGAAGCATGTGCTCTCCCTGAAAAAGAAGCACCTTTTAAGCTAAATTGGCTGTGATAACTGTTACCCTAAAATGATGAGACACTAATGAAATACACAGAGAGGATAAAGAACAATGCAGGCTCTGCACCCCAGGCCCGGCTTCACTCCCCTCGGGTTGGAACCCTGAGGAGGGACCACTTGCACCTCCTTTCAGTGTGCCCATCATCTCTTACTGTTCCACTGCAGTATCAGCTCGGTCCAGATTCTCTAGGACAGGATATTTACCTTGCTCTTATATGTACCTACCCCCCAAATTGGTCCTGACTCTGATTAAGGGTGAGATCTGTTCTCTGCGGAAAATTTTTTAGATGTGGATGGAATGCAGAGATTTTTAAATAGTGCCTTTTCCTCTTTGCTCAGATCCAAATGCCCCTTGGTGCATCTTATAAATTCCAGATATCTTCAAAGCAACCCTTCCAAAACTGAATCCACTATTTTGCCTCTACCTACACTCACCCCCAACCAGCACTTCCTAGAGCATTCCCCTTTCTTTTTTTAAAATGTATTTTTATTGATTTCAGAAAAGAAGAGAGAGGGAAAGGGAGAGAAACATCAATGATAGAGAATCATTGATCAGCTGCCTCCTGCACACTCCACATTGGGAATTGAGCCTGCAACCCAGGCATATACCCTGATCAGGAATCAAACTGTCACCTTCTGGTTCTTAGGTCAATGCTCAACCATTGAGCCACACCAGCCCAGCAGTGGATTCCTCTTTTGACTAATGACATCACCATACACCCAGCCATCCAAGCTAGGTTATCTTTGGCTGATCATCACTCTCAATCCCTTCCACCTAATCAGTGATCCAGCCTTGTGGATTTCTCCACTTAAATATATTTTAAATTCAAAACTTTACACTGGCCTCAAATAACCATACTTTTTGTTGATGTTGTTAAAAATCTTCACCCCAAAATATTTTTTCCATCAATTTTTAGAGAGAGTGGAAGGGAGTGGTAGAGACAGAGAAAGAGAAACATCCATGTGAGAGACACATCAAATCTTGCCTCCTCCTGGTACGTGCCCTGACCAGACTCTAACTGCTCTAACCACTTAGCAACTGGCTAGGGTAAATAACCATATTTTTCAAAGGCTTTTTATCATCTCTGATTGAACTATTTTCTATAATCTCCCATTTTCTTGCTTCTAGTTCAGAGACTTTTCTAAACCTATGTCACAACCACTTTCTATACAATATTATTCTCTTTATTAAAACATGGAAGAGGAGGAGGAAGGGTGGGGGTAGATGGCATTCTCAAAATTAAATGCATGTGATTAGAATCACCTGGTAAGTGTTTAGAGAAAACTGCCGATTCCATGTCCTTAAGCACTAGAATTCTCAATGAATTGTGTGGAGTGGGGGTGCCTAGCGTCAGCATTTTATGGAACGTTCCACGTGACTCTATATTCAGTCAGGACTGAGAACCACCAGCCTACCAGACAGAGCCTCATTTCTACAGCACTGAGCATATGGAATGGCCCATATGTTCAAGTCCCTTAAATGGAACCAAACAGCATCTACCATAACTTACAATCAGCTTTGCAATGGCTGTTGCCTTAACTTTTAAATTCTTCTTCTGAGCCATTTTCCACCCCTCTGATGCCCCATGTTGCCCTCACAGACTCAGTTCCCAATCCCTATTTGCCAGGTTCACTTTGTATAACCCAGTGATGGCAAACCTTTTGAGCTTGGCGTGTCAGCATTTTGAAAAACCCTAACTTAACTCCGGTGCCGTGTCACATGTAGAAATTTTTTGATATTTGCAACCATAGTAACACAAAGATTTATATTTTTGATATTTGTTGTATATATTTAAATGCCATTTAACAAAGAAAAATCAACCAAAAAAATGAGTTCGCGTGTCATAGCTTCGCCATCACTGGTATAACCTATTTCCTTTGCCTGTAATAACTTCCCAATCTTCTCCATTTTTTAGACCAGGGGTCCTCAAACTATGGCCTGCGGGCCACATGCAAATTCAAGTATTGTATTTGTTCCCATTTTGTTTTTTTACTTCAAAATAAGATATGTGCAGTGTGCATAGGAGTTTGTTCATAGTTTTTTTTTTTTTAAACTATAGTCCGGCCCTCCAATGGTCTGAGGGACAGTGAACTGGACCCCTGTTTAAAAAGTTTGAGGACCCTTGTTTTAGAGAGTTCACTCATCCTTCAAGTCTCAGTTCCAATTTTATACATTCTAAATACATCTCCCAATTCCCCAAGGGAAAATTGCTTTATCTTCTATGCCTCTGTAGTATAATTTCTTTTTAGATGTTTATATAGATAATATATTCACATGGAACAACATATATTTTTAAGTCTATTTTTTAAGTTTCCTTACTACTCCATTCTCCATCTGTCCAGTTCACATTCCTCTAACAAATAACCACTGTTGCTCCTTTTTTGTTTATATTTCCAGAGATTTGTTTGCACATTGTATACAAGCATATATAAATAAATTGTCCCCACTTTTTTGAGATAGGGAAAAATGGTAGCATTTATATATGTAGTCTGTATCTTGCTTTTTTACTATTTAAAAAATATATATATTTTTACTATATATATGTATCCATCCTTGAGATCTTTCTCTGTTAGTACTTTAAAAGTCTCTTCATCCCCTTTTTCAGCTGCATTGAAGTTTCTTATTACTAGTATTATTGTCTCTTTTTCCATGCATTGTTTGTAGGTTTTGCTTTATGGAACTCAACACTGCATTAACTGAAGTGAGAGATTTGTAATTGATACATCTTCACTGTGAACTACTGACTTTTGCCTATTTAAGTTCCCTTCCCTGCACTGTTTAAAGTTTTCCCCTTGCCAAACCGGTTTGGCTCAGTGGATAGAGCGTCGGCCGGCGGACTGAAGGGTCCCAGGTTCGATTCCGGTCAAGGGCATGTACCTGGGTTGCGGGCACATCCCCAGTGGGAGATGTGCAGGAGGCAGCTGATCGATGTCTCTCATCGATGTTTCTAACTCTCTATTTCTCTCCCTTCCTCTCTGTAAAGGATCAATAATAATATATTAAAAATAAATAAATAAATAAATAAATAAAGTTTTCCCCTTGAATTTCAACTTGTCTGATTTTAGGCTGGACCCCTAATCTATTTTATATATTTATTTGAATTCAACCGTTCTGAATTACCATTTTAGATGTATGTCTTGCATATGGTGCAGGCTTGATCTTTGCTATGTGATACAACCTGAAGTTCTTTATCCTTTAATAAGGTAGGCTTAAGCCATTTATATGTATTGATTTATGTGTTTGGTATTAGTTGTCATATGATTTTATTTTGTTTTTTTATAATTTCTCTTAAGTTTTTAATGATATAGTCCATTGTGTGTGTGTGTGTGTGTGTGTGTAGGTACTTCTGATATGTAGGTTTTTTTCTTTGTGTACCATTATAATGACAACTTTATATAATACCCTTATTGGTGATTCTATTTTAGAGAGTGTCTATAAGTTTCCTATTCTGAATAGTAACAAAATTTATTTTCTCTTCCCTCTGTTCTCACATTCTCTGATATTTATTGATATTATCTTTGTTAGTGTTTATACTAGTACCAAAAAGTATGTTTAAATTGCTTAAATGATAGATCTTATTCCCTAGAATAGGTCATACAACTTATCTTTCACCTTTCATTCTTGACTCCTATTTTTCTTAGCTGGATCATTACTACATTTCCAGGATATTTACACTTGGTTTGATACGTAATGTCACATGAGTTTTTGTCTTATTTTTAGAATTAAATGCAGTCAATGCTTATTTCCAGTTCTTTGCTGTAGAATTTTATGATTTCTTGACTGGTTCAAATTTAACCTCTAGTTGTTTCCTCAAAAGAAATCATGAGAACAAAATTGCTTGAAGTGTATTTTTTTTCTATTATCAAAATTCATTTGTAGATTTTTTATTTGAGAATGCTACGGTGAATATAAAATTCTTGGTTTACAACTTCTTTCCTTAAGGATCTTATAGCTTACTTCACTACCACCTGGAGCTGAGACTTTTGTAGAGAATTTGAAGCTAATCTATTTTTTTTCTCCCTGTAAGTGATTTGGTCTTTACGTCTATTCACCAAAGGATTACTTTTCTTTACAGTTGAGTAACTATACTAGAATATGTTTTGTTGTTGACTATTCTGAAACAGTTTTCCCTACCATGTTTCAAATACATAGCTTGAAGTTCTATTTTTTTCTTGAAAACTTTTTCTGACTTATACCTTTAAAAATGTGTTCTGCCCTCATTTTTTCTTTGGGTACTCCAATTATGCAAATAGTGACTCTTCTTTTATTAGGTGTATGTGGACACCTTTAACTTTTCTCCCACAATCTTGGAGGGAAAAAATGTCTATCCTCTTACCCTAAATTAAACTCTCTACCTAAGTTCTAGTAATCCTTCTTTCCTGTTTTTGCTGGAATTTTTCTACATCAATCAGGCCTCATCTCTGCTGTGAACTTT